TGTAAAACCTAATATACTTTGAAGACCCCAGGCTACATGGTAAGGGGGTGGGAGAGCAGAGAAATCTTCCATCTCCTTAGAATGTGTGAGGATGACATGAAGTATAACCTATCAGAAACATAACAGGCAAGTTATAGACAACAGAATCGAATCAGAATTAGAGAATAGCAAAACTATAAAGACGTATAGAGGGAATCTAGAGCGATCCCAACAACCTCTTAACAGGAGTCCAGGCGCACAGAGGGGGGTGGGGGGAGCCAGAGTGGAGCACGGGGACAGGAGGAGGTTTGTGTCCCAACCCTGGAGACTCTCGGATACCCACCAAGGACTATATCCCAACAGCCAAGGAGACCACGGGGAATTGGAGTGCCTTCAGAGGCCGAGAACTCTGAGGTCATCCACTCCTGTTTGGATCTCCCACATGGGATGGAAGAAACCCAAATCCTACCCGCAGGAGCTAATGGCATCAGAGCAACAGCCAGGAGCTCTGAGTGGTCCACAGAAACAGAAGAACAGTACACTTCCTTCGGGAATTGGGAGAGGAGCTTTCTCTGGTCCTTACTTAGTTCCAACTTTGGATCCTCACCCTCCACTCCTGCAATGACCATCAGGGTCGCTCCAAAGCCCCGCTCCCCAAAAATTAGATTAGATAGACAGAGAACAGCAAGGAAAGCTTAGTCCCAAACAGAAAACGGTTAACCTGGACTCACATATACCTTACTAGGTAGGACACGGACAGAAGCTACTCCTCACTAATAAATGTATTTGAAGATTTCTCTGCACATCCCTCCTAAAACTGTTCTGTGCCTCAACTGTTGACATATGCCTTGTTAGAGTTATAAGCCAACATGGACTATCCCAAAATCCAGCAAGTTCAGTAAAATTATGCTTCAACACTGTAAACTACTAAATACTAAAATAAAAATAGACTGAGACAGCTGAATAGTGTCCTATAGCCATTTTAAGGTGTATAGCAGCCAGTTGTGTATAAACTAAAATTCAAATGTCAATGAAGTAGTCACCGGATGTGGTTAAGAACTTGCGTTTTCTAACATATTGGTCACTCAATACCATGTCATTTAACTCCATAAGGTCGTAAACAGTTGTTGATATTATGTTGTGGCTTTTAATTGGTCGGGATGATATTCTGCCAGCTCTGCCTTCAGACCAGAGATGGTCTCCCCAAGAAACTGTTCAATTTATCTGGACAATAAGATGCTGGACACTATGCAAAGTATATGCTTGCAATGAAAGAATTATGACTGCATTTGAACTGTAATGCTGCAATTAGGTAGAAAAATCCACCATTGGGGCAGGGTACAGGGAGGGGTTGGGGGAATCCCAGAGCCTATAAAACTGTGTTATAAAATCAAACGTAATAAAAGAAGAAAGTAAATGGATTGGGAAAGCAATGGATGGATCAACCCATGAGGATCCTGAGTGAAATCCTGTCCACCCAGGAAGGCCAGCAACGAGCTGCCACAAGGTGGCCCATGTCCTGAAATCTCATAGATTGGCATGGAGTTACTAATAACCCTATTTTTATGGTATTAAATTATTTAGCACTAACTGACTACATGAGTAACTTTGAAGTGCTTTATATACCTAACTAAACAGGACCATTAGTAATCAATGTTCATTAACACGTTTACTTTTTATGTTTCCTTTCCTGAGCCTCACATCGAAACTAAACACCAGGAAATTTGAAGAAAGTGAGGCTGAGAAAGAGTTGCCTGAGGCCAGGCTGCCAGCAGGTGGACCACAGGAGTTCAGCCCAGTCTTCTCAGAAGCATTGTCAGCTTTCCTCATGATGCTCCCGGGACATGAGACGACTGGAGATAAAGGGTTCGGATGGTTGCAAATATTAGCCTCGTGAGACTGAGTGAGTTCCCAAGAGAGAGCACGTTCTCCCAATGTGGCAGAGGAATTTCACTCTAAGTCCAACAGAAAAGCTCTCACTAAACAAGGTGTTTTGAAAGCATGATACATATTTGTTGGGCACCAACTAGGTGCAAAGAGCTTAGCAGGAGATGGCATGGTGCCATCTGCTTCTTCACTTCCTGCCACAAGGATGAGATGAGCCAAGGTGACCCTCACCTGGACCAGGGATCGGGTGGCCAAGTGAGCATATACAGCCTGGGAATCCGGCATCTGTTCCAGGACTGTGGGAGCTGCAGGGGCGGGAAAGGGCTTGAGCAGCTGAGACACACGTACTGGCCTGGATGCCGGGGAAAGGCAGAGCTTACCAGCAGGAGCTGGGGACAGTGTGCCTCTGGACAGCCATGGCCTCTGCTGGCCCTACTACACCCTAGGTGTTGAGATGGGACAGGGGTGGGTGGGTGCTGAGTCACTGCAGGTCTCAGGCTTGGCAGCCAGCCGGGCAGAAAAGCCAACACAGAAGAGTGGGGAGTGAGGGCTACAGACCATGTAGTCTGCAGGTGGATGAGCAGCTTTCAGGTAGCAGCTGGCCTCTCACCTCCAGACAGGAGGAGCAAAACAGGGAAGGAGACTCCCGGACAGGTACGCCACACGCCAGCATAACTCCAAGACAGCCAGTCAGATGGAGAAGGCATGAAGAGTGCAGGAGAGGCCAGAGAAGAGCGATGGCAGTGAGGGCTTGAAGGGCAGGCATGGGAGACCCAGTGCCCAGTCCCTGCCTGTCCTCACTGCTCCAGTGTGGACAGTGCTGGCCTCAAAGGCCGACAGACAAGAGGGGAGGCCAAGCCTTCAGCAGCACTTGCTGTGTGTTCTCGGGTGAGTCACTGAACTTCCAGGACACTCAGTTGCCTCAGCTGTGGATGGGGAGGTGCTAAGACGCCATTCCGGGAACCAGCAAGATCACCAGAGTTCTAGAAGAAAACCAGGGTGCTCGGCGGGCTCTCGGCATCGCCTTCTCACTCATGTCACCCCTGCTTCAGAGTGGACACTCTGCCTGTGGCCACGCGGCCACTCTGGTCTCCTCTAAGGCCCCACTGAAGACAGAGACTCTGCTCTAAGTTCCACTAAAAGAGAATTCTTAAACACAGCATGTCCCCTGGATTCACTGTTTTGAATAATGAGTCTCCCCTTTTTAAAGCAGCGTCTGATATGCCCGGGCCCCTTGCAGAGTGCCTGGGCTTGCAGAATGCACACGGAGTGAACCGTTCCAGCCAAGGGTCCTGCTTGAGCTGCTCGTCCCTTTTTTTACATCTTTGCTGCGTGGAGTGGTCAGGGTGCTCCTCCCAGGCCCGAGCCAGCCACCAGCTCTGCCAAGAAGCACGGCATGTGTAGCTGTACATGGTTAGGATCAGGTGGTCGTTCTCTCTTTTCACCCCTTTTGTTCCATCTGTCTAGCCCCTGGCTTGTCATCTATCATACCAGAAAATGGATTCCAGATTGAAGTCATTTTCTTTTGCCTCTCCCCATGACAGCCTGAAACTGACAAACTGGCTTGCATGGCCTGCCACCCCCACCTCTATTTCATTGTATATTATGACCACTGAACTCCTCTGGGGCACATCAACTGTAATCATATGTAGGATTTAAAAAAAATAGGCAGAGAGAACTTGAGACGAGGGGCGGTGGGGGTGCACACGCAGTAAACCTGTTGGAGAACACGGCCTGGCCCCACTCGGCCAAGCTGAAGGGGATTGATGAAGGGATCCCAACTAGCCAGACTTCTTCTGGAACCCATAAAAATTCAAAGTGATATTGAATGAGCAGAGTAATCCACAAGTCACACCAGAAGACGGATTTGCAAGGGCAGTTTTTGTGGCTGCCTGCAGCACCGTTGTGCCTTGCAGGTTTGTTCAGAGGCAGGAAGTGAGAGCTGGAGCCCTTGGAAGATGCTTGCGTCTCCACTGGCAGAGGTTCCACACCACTGTCTGAAGCAAGGCCTAGCAGAATTTTTTTTAAAATAATTCATTAGTATATAATACTCAGGCATTTTTATTGTACGACATGGTTTAAATTATCTACTCATTATTTAAATTACTATCCAGTTACTAGTCTTCTAGATTTGGAAAATTATTTACAGAAGTGTCCTCGAACTGTGTTTGAATATTCCCATTCTGTTTCTCTAGGAGAATCCCGTCTAAATGGGATCTGGTGGTATAGGCAAATGTTTAACTAGGGCTCAAATTGTACACAGAACTGTGGTCACGCATCAAAGGCACAGCTCCACAGACATTTCCATTTTAACCCCAAACAGTAGCAACCTGCCTGGCCGCTGCATACTCCACTCTCCACACACTCAATCCCTCTGTTCAAACTCTGGATGAGAAATATCATTCAGATGACCTGTTGATGACAAAGTTGGCTTCTAGTCTCAATCATATCATGTTCAGATCTTTGAAAACTCCCTGAAAGGCTCAGTGCATTAGCCTAGTGGCTAATGTCCTCGCCTTGAATGCACCGAGAGCCCTATGGGCACCAGTTTTAGTCCTGGCATCCCCGCTTCCCACCCAGCTCCCAGTTTGTGGCATGGGAAAGAAATCGAGGAAGCCCAAAGCCTTGGGACCCTGTATGCATGTGGAAGACCCAGAGGAGGCTCCTGGCTCCTGGCTTTGGATTGGCTCAGCTCCAGCCATTGTGGCCACTTGGGGAGTGAATCATCAGATGGAAGATCTTCCTCTCTGCAGAGTAGGAAAACAGAACTAAGTTTGTGTCATCCCTGATGTTGTTTGGGCCCTATCAGCCAATCCATGGTTCTTCATGATTGCATCTGCTTTGGTCATGAGTGTATTACATTTCAATTGCAGATACGCCAACAGACGGCAGCTGTCCTTTCTGTCCTCTCTGAACTGTGGCCGGTTGCCCATTTCCTGCCTTCTGCATTATTCCGCCCTTAGTGTGGCCAACCTCGCGTTTGACTGGCAGCGGTTCTTAGAAGCCAATCAACAATCCTTGCTGAGGCTGGTGTTGTGGCATGGAAGATTTAGCACTGCTTTCACAATCCTGTCATCCCATTCTGCAGTGTGAGTTAAGTACTGGTTTTTCTTCCAAAATAGTTTCCTGCTAATGAACATAGGAAAGTGACCTATGAATTTTCATGTCATCCTTACACAGGGGCCATGCTCATTTTCTCTGTATCATTCCAATTTTAATACACTTGCCACAAAAGTGAGCACTCTGTCTCAAACTTTCAGATGTACAAATTTTTAAGAAGCATGGCCAAGAACAAGAAGTGTTCCACAAACAGACCCAATCCAATAGTTGATTTGGATAATGATGCATTTCTTACTCCCCAGGATCCACACTATTGCATGATTTAAAAATTATGTCATTGCACCCTTTACCCTGGCATTGATTACTGAATCTAAGAAAGGGTTTAAGAGATTTAGCCCAGGATATAAGGCTCTCCTTGCAATGGATCCTGCCATGCTGGATACCGTATCTCTTGCTGTTGGCTCATGCACACCCTAAGCCATAGCCTTCTTGAATTAAATCTGCTGCTATTAGCAGAATCCTCTTCTCTTTGCTGAGTCCTGAATTGCTTTCCTTCCTCTTCATCACTTGAAATCCTGTATCCAGTCTTCAAGACTCTTATCTAGAGAGCATGCCCTGGTTCTCACATGGATTAAAAGAAGGACCCCACCATAGATACTGTCTTCTTTTTAATCCTATTTACACTTGATAGGCATATATTGCTATTTCCTTTTATATATGCATTATTAGGCTAGCAGAACCCAAAGACCAGGACCTTTGCTGTTGTTGAACTTTGTCCTGATGCAGTTATATGGAGTAAGTACTCAAGACACATTTACTAAAGGACTGTATTCATAGGAAGGAGGGTGGATGGGATACATGGGTGAATGGAGAGATGGGAAAAGAGGGTGGGAAATGATGGAGGGATAAAGGACTGGATGGATGAATGGGGTACATGGATAGGTGGAGAGATGGATGGAAAAGATGGAGGGAATGGGATGGAGAGATGGAGAGGCAAGGATGGATAGATGGAGGGATGAAGGGATGGAGGGATGGAGGGATGGGATGGATAGAGGCATGTGGAGAGACATGGATGGATAGATGGATAAATGGATGTAATAGTGAACTGTCATGTTAGCTACTCTAGCTAAAAGACAAAGTTTAAGATAAATTTTTATAAAACCCAGATAAGGGCCTGGCACAATAGCCTAGTGGCTAAGGTCCTCACTTTGAACCCATATGGGTGCCAGTTCTAATCCTGGCAGCCCTGTTTCCCATCCTGCTCCCTGCTTGTGACCTAGGAAAGCAGTAAAGGTTGGCCCAAAGCCTTCGGACCGTGCACTGGCATGGGAGACCTAGAAGAAGCTCTTGGCTTTGGATCGGCTCAGCTCTGACCATTGTGACCATTGCGGCTGCTTCAGGAGTGACCCATCAGATGGAAGATCTTTCTCTCTGTCTCTCCTCCTCTCTGTATATCTGCCTTTCCAATAAAAATAAATATAAGTCTTTTAAAAAAAAAAACAGATAAAATGAACATATCTGCTTCCTCTGTAACAGAGGCTTATGTGGCTCTGGTGTCACAGCAGAAACAGCCACCACTACCGCCTTAGACTTGGGACCATCAATGTGTGTGTGTGTGATGCTTTTGTTACATCTGCTCCTTTGCGCCTCTGTGACCTGCACACACACAACAGCCATCGTAACTGAGCAGCTTCCTTGAAACAAGTGCCAAGCGCATGCCCACTCACTCTTTCCCTCTGCTGGAAAGATTTACTCCATAGGGAGACACACCAACTGCTGTCCTCAGTGTGCCAAACACATGACACTTTAGAAGAAATCCAATACTCCCTGGGGTCCCAGAAAATGGCTTGAGTTGATATTTTAACGTGACCAAACCTGTGAGAGAAATCAGAGAATGCTTTTTATGAAACAAGAAACTGAATTTAATTTTGAAAAGTATGATTTGAAGAAGGCGGGTTGTAGTCATTTCCAATCTTCCTTTCTTAACACTTTGTTTTTTCAAGTTAGTGTGAAATTCAAAGAGAACAAATTCAACATAGTTCACAAGGACAATCCTCCCTTTTTTATTTCTTTGTCAATTGTTGAGATAGCATGCTATATTTACATTCTAGTCAGAGTCTTGATGTTCACTGAACAAAAAGCTGACCGAGAGAAGAGTAAAAGCCCCTGTTCTGCAGATCGTTGGCAAGGACTATAAACAGCAAATGAAAAGTGACGGTGTTAAGGCTACCAAGTGCAGCGGCTGGATTCTTCTCTCCTGTTCCATCAAACCTTTCAGCACCTGCTCTCTCAGTGTTGTCCTGTAAAGAACTGGTGGTTCCTAGGCCAACGTTGAGACTGGCTGAGACAAGGTGTGTGTCAATGCCGTGCAGTCGGTCATCGCTGGCCCTTAGCCAGGATTTACTGACCTCTACAGCTTCCAAAGGAGAGCGGGCACAAAGCATCTGGGGTGGTGATCACTGATGTGAATCACTCGAGGTGGCCACAAACTTCACTCTCAATGACACATCACTATCTCTGGCACAAACGTCTTATTCATGAGCCCGCTCATTTTAAAATTAAAAACAAGCAAGACAAACAGCAATTACAACAGCATGGCTAGCAACACCAGTGCTGAGGCGGGGCGAAGGAGGGGTCAGCTTTGGGTTTTCTCAGACTCGGTGTAGCTACAACTCCAAGGTCAGAGGGACAGAGCAGCATCAGGAATCAGTGCTTCCCAAACGCTCAGTGGCCAGAGTTTACAGCTGTTCTTCCCAGTTAGGGAAGGAAAGGAAAAGGAAGGCAAATCAGAAATTTCAAAAAGCAGGTTTGCAAAACTAAATTTGTGGGGAAAAAAAACAACACTTAAATGGGGTCATTGTCAAGGTCTGACCTTGGTTCAGCCAGCAAGACTCCCCTCAGCTTCCTCGCAAGCACTCGAGACAAGAATCTGTACTTCAGTCCAGACTCAGCTCAGATACAACAAATTTGGAGCCCTAATGGGTTTCAGCTAAGCTTTCCCACACTCTTTGCCTTGGCTCAAATCTCAATATAATATCATTTATCATAAGTTAGCTATTTGACCTTCAGATTTAAGACAGGACCTGGCAATGCAGCAAACTACACCGTCCACGAGAGTTGAGACCCTTGCTTCTCTCTTGAAAAGTTTCAGTTCCAGCGATGCTTAAATTTCAATCTAACCAAAGGCAGCAATGGCTTTTAATTGTGTTCTCATTAAATGTCTTCACTAGAACAATGACTGTGTGGGCTCCACTGCTCTGGTTACACTGTATCATTTGCTGCTTCTCAATCAAAAGAGGCTCACCCACTTTCCAAGTGCCCCATCGGAAAAGCTGTCGATATTGGAATCTGATACCAGGATTAATGTCAACTTTACGAGGGCCTCCTCTCTGGGAAGCGGTGAGGTGTAGAGAGGTGGCCTGAGAACCCTGAAGCCAAGCCTACACCCCATCTTCCTGTCTCAAGGACACCGGGGCTGGCAAGGCAGGAGGGGACCCAAGACACCCTCCTTGAAGATGGAGCCAGCAATGGGAACCCGGGTGCCAGCAGGAATCTGGGCACCTCTGTCCCGATCAGCACGAGCTATTCCAGCAATGGGGATGAAAACTGAGGCTGAAGATCTGTCCCTCTAAACAGCCAGAATGGGCCCAACCTCAACAGCCACAGGATGGCCCCTATCCTGGCAGCTTGGGACAGGTAAGGAGGAATATGGCTGAACAGGCCCTCCCACGGGCTCCACAGCCCCTGTGAACATCCTTGGTCAGTGGAACAGGGATCTGCAGGGACAGCCGTGGCCAGTGTTTCCTCCTGGGTTGCTGTGGACCTCGGGTCAGAGAGTGTGCCCAGCAACATGCCCCAGCCCACAGAAGTGACCCCCTGCTGGCTCGGATCCTTGCACAAATACTTACTGCACATGCCTGCTGCTCTAGCCCCAGACATAACCCTAAGAAATACATTCCTGAGCAGTCCCTAAGGTTAAAACCAATGCAGGGCCAACTGCAAAACCCATGCTGCACCTCCAATGCTTTATTTTTACTCTGACTACACTTGCACTCAAATTAACAACTCCCATCCATCCTTCCAATACTATTGGACAGGCACACATGCAATGCGTTTATTTTTACCCAACCAATCACATTGCTACCTGTACAGAACATACACATACTCAGAATAAATCAAATCAAAACATGAAAGTCACACTAAAAGTAAATGAAGATAAAAAAGAAACAGAATGTTATAGCAAACTTGATTTCCAGAGTGTTCAGTGTGACATTCAGATGAATGGTTTTCACATGGATCATTTGACAGTCTGCATTGTGAGCAAGTGGCGTGACATTCCATCCCATCCTGTTTCTGTCCTACGGTGGAGGCTAGCACTGCTGCAGCCCCACCTCCTGTCTCGTCCTTACAGAGATGGGATGGCGGGCTGTGTGCTGCGCAACCGTCTGTGTGTGCACATTTCACCATCACCATGGCTGCAGACACTGGGATTAGGTTGTGGGATATGCCAGGGATGAAACACCCTCACCATTTGCTTAGGGTCATGGGAGCATGCTGGAATGGTGAGCTAGGGAATGGTTCATCCACGCAGGAAGGCACGTGCCCATTGCCATGGGAGATCCAGAGATCTGTGTTCTTGCTGAGAAGAGGTTCCTTAAATTCCACATTAACCCATTCTGTGCCTAATCCCCACACTGTGATGTTCTCTGCCAACCTCAGAAGGCATTATTGGAGACCACGCTCCAGACGAGACAGTCTCGACACTGCTCACAAGAGCTGTGGTTGCTCCTAAGACACAGCGGGGCAGAAGCCTTGGGACTGAACTCTGCTGCTGGAGGGAAAGGGGTGGGCACTGAGAGGAATTGGAGTTCTGTGCTCATACCCTGGGGGACAAGCCTCCTCTGGTCACAGTCACAGCATTGCAACGAAAGCGACCACCAGTCGCTGATCAGATGCCAAGGAGATAGGACAAGGCATGGAGACAAAAGGTGCAGGTTGGGTATATAAGACGGCATCACAGTATGGCTGGCATGTCTCAGAACCTCCACTTCTTTTCCGCAAGGGGAGACAATAAGTGACCGTTCATTGGATCACTGTCAGGTTCAAAGCTGTGGGAACCATGTGCCGGACAGCCCCACTCCTCCAGGTCACCCCACTCTGTCTTCTCCAACTTCAGCTGTGC